AATGATATGTATGTTCCATCAAATCGATCGTATGGCATCACTAAGTATTTGTACGCGTTTCGTGCGTCTGCATTTTATAGGGTGCAGTTCAAATGATAAACCTGTGTAGAAGGAATTCAGTAGTGATGATGATTATAATAATGACGCACTTATGTTGCGCGTTTCCGTATTAATAATATACATGAAAAAATTACTCAGTTCTGATTGGTTAAGATACATGCAGTTTTCAGGTAATTCAATGCAGAAGAGGGTTAATTCAGTGCAAAGAAGTAACAAACCAGAAATTCTGATTGGTCATTAATCAAAGAAACTCACAGATAGCCAATCAAATACGAGCCTTGGATGTCGCAAGATTTGGATACGCTAAAAATTTGCGAGCGAAATAATGGCCGGCATGTTGATTAGGTTTTCTTTCGCCACCGCAACAACAATATAGCTGCTGAAAAACAGCTCTAACAACGAAAACACTGTAAAAAGTATTGTTTTTTAATTGTCCATTTGGAAAAAGTGGTGTTTAAAGAGTCTTTAGAAAAGTGAATTGCCAAGGAAATCGAAAATTACGAGCCGATCCAGGTTAGCACTTTGCTCGAGCGATTCTACGCCGAAATGAAAATCAAACATGGTTAAACCTCGCAAACGACGATTCCATTCCATCGAAAGTGATTCGAACACAGACTGAACAATTCCTTGAACTGTTTAGCCGGACTTTGAACTTTTTTGCGCCTTAAAGGTGTGAAAACATAATTGTATATTACTGTTTTGATCGTACGCGGTTGTTTTAACCGAACAATGTCACCTGCAGGGCTTGTATAAATATTTTTGCACTCGATGCGCGCGCTTTGCTTCTGCATAATTATGAGAAGCTATCTAGTATTTTTCATGTATATTATTAATAAGTAATCACATGATTATTCTCGTGCAATTTGGAATAAATAAGCACTTGTTGATTTTTTTAAAGACCACAAATTGCACGAGCCCGTAGGGCGAGAGCAATTTTGTTAGTCTTTTATGTACTTTTAAATTTACTCGTGCTTATTTATTCCAAATTGCACTCGAAATCATATGATTACCTATACTAATATGCTCTTATGTGCTTTACAACTTTTTCATCAGTGCTATACTCCTTCAAAGTGTTTATTGTCAAGCTTTCCGTCTTTCTTTTCCCTTCCTTAACTCTTTTTTCCCCAGTTCTTTTATCAAATGAAAGGCACGGAAAACACCTACAAACAAAGGCGTGCGATTACCGAACAAGTGCAACACTTAAAACGAATGGCTATTTTGTTTTTACATTAAAGTAACCGAGCAGGTTTTTGCCAGGCAAATAGACTGGCAGTTCAAATTTTGAGGATTGCAAGACTGTCTGCATGTTTTAACTGTCTCAGCGCATTTCATTTGGCATCCCCCTCCGCGACAAATCTGGGTGCAATGTTCAGAATTACACTCCATATTGCAGTTAGCTCCCGCACAGTCTTGTAAGCAATTAGTTGAGGTGCAAGACATTGAGTAGCAGGCTCCATCGTTGCAAGTTTGTCTACATTTAATGGATGCTCGGCACTCCATTCTCCGGCAGTCTCCTTCGTTGCAAGTTTGATTTATTGATCGGAAAATGCCATAATGTAGCCATCCAAGAAATGAACAGCTTCGTTTCTGTGGGCACTGCTGATGACATTCACGTGTTAACATTGCACATCTAACCCTCCTTGCGATTGCCTGGAGTTTGGGAGCTTGGGCAGGAGTAACACAGCTTCCAGACTGGCAGTAACGTTTGCATTGTTCTGCTTCACATCCAAGAATACAGTTGCCTCCAGGACACCACTGGAAACATCGCTTAACATTCGACATGCAACTCATCCTACAGTCGCCACCTCTGCATGTCTGAAGACATGTCTCTGCTTCGCATTCCATCGTGCATCCCCCAGCGACACATTCCTGAATGCATACTCTTGAGTTGCATAAGTATTTCATGCATTTTCCTCCAATGCAGACCTGGGTGCATTTACGGGGAGCTTTGCAGTCGAAATGGCAACTTCCTCCCGCGCACACCTGCAGTAACGAGCTGTGATGGCTATATTTATATTTCATGTCGCAATTTCCCTCAGAGCAAGTCTGCATACAAATACTCTCTCTGAGATCGTCGTTGCAGTAAATGTATCGTGGTGCACCAAGTACTGCCTCTAAACCTCGAGTAACTTCCGCACCGTAAGTACATTCTCCTCCTTTACAAGAACGTTTGCATTTCTCTGCATTACAAATCATGTTGCATTTTCCGCCATTACAAGTCTGCTCGCATGACTTTACGCCAGGAGGGCAACGCATTGTGCATTTTCCCAATTCGCACCACTGTGTGCAGTTTGTGGCTCCTTTCGAGCAGAGCATGTTACAGCCACCCATAAGACACTTCTGTCTGCAGGTCTCTCCACCACAATCCATCAGTTGACAGCTTCCTCTTGTGCAATCTTGTCTACAATACTTGGATTTACAAAAGATGTTGTTACAACGGCCAGCCACACATCGCTGAGTGCACGAGTTTGAAGCATGGCAATGCAAACGACAACTACCGCTGTTACAAGTTTGTTGACAAAGCTTATGTTGTGCGCTTTCGCGGCACATAATTTCATGATTTCCCGTTTCTCGGTATTGATGGCAAGCGTTTTCATAGATTAAGTTGCACTGCGTTGGCCGAAATCCCCGAAGGCCGCCGCCTACTCTGAGGATCAGGATGGCAACAGCAACCAAAACAACTGGGCCTAGCATCTTTTCCTGGAACATAAAAAGGTAATTAGCACATACTAAATGACGAGATAATCCTTAAAATGGAAACGCTTTATAGCACTGCTTTAAACGCAGGTGACCCGCAGTTAACCGCAAGAAGGAATCTTCTGTTTACCGACTGAAAGAGAATATTTTGCGCGTCATTAGTTTTGAGTGGTAATGCAAATATGTTTGGCGAATGTTCTATGAGAAACACTGAAGCGAGGCTCAGCGCGATCTCAAATCAGCATATTGAAAATGTGCATTAATTTCTAAGGGCCCCATGGCGTAGTTCTTAGTAATAATTCTCCCTTGACTTGTCTCTCGGAATTTTTCTGGAAAGGCCTTTTCTCGTGATTGTGGAACATAATGCGACCCTTCAAAAGACTTCAAGGCAATAGATGATAGCACGCCAACAACACGCTTCCGCCAGAAAACAAATGATTTCTCTTGTTTCAGTAGTCACGATAAGCAGAAAATAGCGCGATACGTCAAACAGTGAAGTATAATACATTGAAACATAAACCGTGACATGCTTTGAAAGTAAACGAAGCGTGCACAAGTGAACTAAAAGGTATATCATCGCTTGCAATGCTTGCATAGGATGTTCCTCGGCCACAGTTATTGCTTATGATTCCGAACAACTCAGCTAAAAAGTATATACTTGAAAACAATCTCACAAAAAGACTTTAAAGAAGAGAACAAAAAAGTGATAAAAAGATGTGTAAAACTTGACAAAAGTTTCCGACACTATCAATTTTTGGCCTCCACTGGACTAACAGTTCGCCTCCCCTTCCCACGTGAAAGTAGGCACATTCTTTGTTTGTTGATAGCTGCCTACGTGTTGTCTTTAAAGCTTAGGACAGACTATGGAACAGTTAACCATTACACATACAGGAAACGATACCGTAACCGAAGCGATATAAAGAGATACTTGTTAGAAACAACCCAGAAGAAGCATATCTACATCACTCCAAATAAAATGTTTATGTAACTCTCTAATCTAATCTTAAGTAACTACTTGTTAAAACTAACCATGTTGTAATTGTTACATAGAAGATAGATAGCTTGCGAATCGATCAGATAACATCGTGAACCATTTGAGCAAAGGAATATAAAATGATGAAAATGGAGCAGTGGAAATGGATTTGGAACCGTGTTGTTGCTCCCCAGTAGTAAACAGACACCTTTCCGATATCAAGGTTGACAATGTTGTGTAGCAATTGTCATGTGTGATGGAATTTCTGGCAATATCCTAACTGCTCCATAATCAACCAACTCAAGAAATATCACCTTTCAGTTTTATTTTATCTTTGGCGTGCTCACCTCTACTTATTCTCGTATCATCTCAGATTGATAGCGCGGTTTATTATAAGTTGAACTCATAAATACCATGTTATTTGGCTTTCAGGGCAAGGCACGTATTTTATGGTAAAAAAAAAAAAATTGGCCTAGGGAGCGAAATAACTTTTAGAGATATGACTACAGCTGACGCGTGTCTGATGATATCCTTATTGAAATTAGAATAAAGTTAAGACATGATTTTAATAAACTGTCTGAAGTCATCATCTGGATAAGCAATAGGTACATACGCTAATATCATCGAGGTAAGTTCTCACTTCGATTAAGAGAGGCTGTCAAATTTTTCCGAGTGGGGCGACCCAGTTAGCGCATGATAACAGCTAAAACGAAAACCTATAAAGCTTTTTTCGGGAAGCTCCCCTTGCCTGTATGCTAACTTCAAAACAAAGCATCCTCGATATCGGGATCAATAGTTTGGATAATGTCGAATCCAACCAAATATCTATCAAAATGTTATAAAGAAAAACGGGTCAAAAGTCATAACAGTTCGCCAAAGATTTAATTCGATCCTTATCTAAGGCTAAGAAACTAAAGTACGTTCGTAGATAACCTCTTTGCACTGATCAGTCTGGAGAGAAACTCAAAACTGAAATATTTTCTTTTATCAAAGAGCTTCCAGCTGTTGAAAAAAGTTTTCTGTCAGGTTTGTTGCATTTCAATGTTCAACATGATGAAGAAGAGGAAAGTTGTGAGAAAATGAAAAAGAAGAGAAAACTGCAGGTGAAACTATATTTAGCCTCTGCTGTTTCGTCTCCTCAATGCGGTATTCAGTTGTTTTTAGAATGATTGCGTTCATGACCTCCACCAGAGACTGATATTCACCGCTTAAGTATGCGAAAAAAAATATTGGAGAACCCACAAAGAAGCTTGTTACTTCTTGGGCGTTCATGACCTTCTCATTGGAAATTTCTTATCCTCGTACTGTTAAAACTTACAACCTGGGGATAAAGCCATGTCGTGAGATTTTGACGTCGGCATAGGCGTTGTTTCTACCATGAAGCCTTCACTAATGTTATCTTTTAAAAGCACGATATTTAAATTTGCGTTTGCTATTGACTATATTGAATCTTTATTCTGTACTGCACCATCCCTACTTGGACAAGTGTAGATGTGCATGTTGCGCCTAGCACCGATAACAGTATTTTTAGATCCAATCAAGAACACTTAGACTCCTAATATACATTTAATGGACCTGTCCATCCACTTTCCGTGTCCATATTATTATCTATCACAGGCATAAGGGAAATTCCATTTACCTGAAAGAAGGTCTAGTTAGATACGCCCACGAAATACCTATGGTAAATTAATTTGTGTTATCGAACACCTTCATTGTTGTTAAATTACTTTCGTGCAGTGTTCTGAGTGGGAGGTCATTACTGTTAATCAAATGTGCTCTTTACTCGCTGTCTCTATCATCTGGCATCTTTATAATTAAATTTGTGTGCTTCATAATTATGTGTAATTCAGTGCTGACTGTCTATGGGGTCAAATAATCCAAAAGAACAATGTTACTTTTTCATTGGAATCTATAATCCCTAGAGATACAGCTTTCAATGGTTCATTGATACCAAGCTCATTTGAGAGAGTGGAGAGGTGTTTGATAAGGAACAGTACAATTAAGGGTCTCGCCAGTGTCTTTATCTCTCGTTCCTATCATAAATAATATTCCTAAACGCCAAAGTCATATATTTTTGGCAGGGGAGAGGAGTGAAACGAAGGCTGGGAGGGAAGGAGGGGGGTGGGGAAATGGATAGACGAGGATTAAGAGCATTGAAACAAAATGACCAACAGAAATACAAAAGCTTGATGAGGGACTGTGCGCTAGTATATCGTAAATGTAATTAGAGTTGCCCTTGTTTTTTTGTAATTTTTCTCTTCATGCTGGCAGGAGCCCATCATCCATGATGTATCTAATACCTGATATATTCTTTCTTTCTTGCTGCTTTTTTTTACTCGGGATCGGTTACATGATTAAAGAACTACGTGTGCGTATTCTTTACGACTAAAACTGAGACAACATACGCGATAAGAGAGGAGGTACATTGATGTCGGACAAGACTCGGTATAGGCACACTTGGCAAAGCAGTAGACCTAGGCATCAATTACTAGTTACATTGAAGCTGTACAGTAAATGTGCTAACACAGAGACAACAATGACTGAAGGCGCCACTTTCGCCAAATGTGTAACAGATACTGATATCAGCAAAATGCACAACACACTTACGTACCAAAGTAGTGACCAACCGTTGAAAGAGCTAAATAAGTGTTTCTAACATCTAACACTGCAGTATAGTCCTAACAGCCGCCAAGGCTGCTGTTAACCGACGAGTCTCGCAATAATGATGGCTCCTTGGTTCCATTCGGGAAATTACACACTTAATGCTTCTAGCAATTTCTTTGCAATCAGGAGTTTGATCAAAGATCATCTATCAATTTAGTACCGCTACAGTTAGCTGGTTAATACATGATGATAAACAATATTTGCATCACTTCCTCGCCAAAAAACACTTAGATTAGGAGGTAATTTAGATTCAGTTATAACATGTTTTCTTATGTTACTTAAAAAACACACTTCAAGGCTTAAATGACTCCAGTAGGTTTTATCACTGTCACGATCAAACTTAGGCGTTGGTGAAATATTTCGGGTGCTCTTCAATTGAGTCTACCCTGATAAAGATATCACATCGGTTCCAGGTATCTGAAAAAAGATTGCAAAGTTCAAAATTCATACTTGGCAGTCCTATTACAGATGAAATTGAAATTTATTTTGAGATTATTGGAGATGAAACATTTGCGATAACAATCTTCATTAGATCTTACCGAAGTCTGACCTAAAAGCACAGTGGTCTGTATCTGCGTAAGGTACTAAACCTTCCAACTTTGTAGTCAGCTTCGACAATGAAACGCTTACTCTTAGGACTGCTTTTTGCTAAACTTTAAGAAAGTTTCTTATGAATCATTTATGTTTTTAATTCAGACTTTGAAGATTATGATGCAGTTATATGTATCTCTCTTTTTTCATGTTAGTAACAGGAGTTACCGAGTCAATGAGGACATTCCTTGCTAGTAAGTGAAGTCGTAGATTAGAAACCTTTGCATTATATTGCAAGAACTTCTCTATGTTAGTTTGCCAACAGTCACGTCGGCAAAATCGCTTACGCCGCCTTTTCTATCGATAAGCTATTAATTAAAACAACTTCAATTTTTCAGGGGAAATCTTTAAGCAATTAAAAGAAAAATGAAATCGAACATATTTTTTTTTCACCATAACCTGTAGAAAAAAAAATGACATTGAGGTCTCCTGTAGAAAAAAAAATGACATTGAGGTCTCCATAATTCTAATTTGGTATAAGTGTGGTCTTCATCATTCACATGATGTCTTCTGCACAGGTATACAGGTACAGGATCTCTACCTCATGATGCGATGACAGTTAGTATCAGAATATCTCGGCCCGTAACAGGCTTCAGGTAAATCGGAGATAAGCAAATGAGTGAATGAGAGAAAACAGCCATTTAATTTCATGGAGTAGGTTCCCTCTTTTTTTTTTTGTCTCTCGTATGTCACACTTTTCCTTTTACACTTGTCCTCACGGATTGACTGCTAAAAGCATAGTATGATTTCCAAGGGCGCAATCTTTCTAAGATTTTGAGGGAAGCATTCTCATCCCGAAAGTTCTTTTAGTATTAATTTTTCTTTAAAGCAGCTTTCAAAGTCTCCACTAGAGGTGACTGACGTACCTGGCATAATGTAAACGTAGACTTAATTTTCCACCAAACTGACAAAACTGAGGAACTTCCCTTGGGCTAAGCAATCCCGTTGAGGAAAAAAGTCCCCTCGTGTTTCAAATAAAATCTTAGAAAAAAAAACTCAGCCGACGCTAAACAGTGGGTGGGTTTAAACCTTAGCCAAGCGGGCTTATTTTTCTTACAACGCCTCTCTCCATCTTAGAGCATGAATAAGTGCCAACAAAAAAAACCTGATGAAATCATTCTGAGAGGTGACCTAGCGAAGGTTGCTCGCCTCCCCCAATTCAGGAAGGGATAACGATCCAATAGTCTCTTCATGACTATGCACGATCGGCCTTTAAAAAATTTCAAAAAATTGTCACTTAATTTGAAATGTCTTCTCTTCAAGTTGATTTTAAGCCCATTACAAACAAAGTAATGTGCATTAAAAAAA